TAGTGATATGCATGACTTTTCTACATAAGCAAATTCCTACGCAGACCTTTAGGTGTTATGTGATCACGGATGGAAGGGGAAGTAATTCACAAAGTTAAGAATGAAAGAAATGAGTTATGATCTGGCATATCCATAGTACTAAAAGAGCTTGAGAACCTACTAGGGCTTGTGCAGTGTTAACTTGAGCTGGAGTCTGTTGCATGTTTACTGTGAGTACAAAGGAAATCAACAGAACTCCTCTCCCTCTTTTTTTTTTTTTCTTGGAGGCAAAGGAGACTTATCATATTTAGTTTTTCATAAACAGTTAAGAAATATTGCATTCAAGAGGAGAGGTGTCTGTATAGGACAGAATCACTTTATTAAAGTACATGACATATGAAATGCAGGAGGAAGAAAACGAGTTTATAATTCTGTAGTGGATACTTACCTGATAGAACAAATGTCAGATAACAATCATCATACATAATTAGTTGCTTTAAAATGCTTGTCATTAGAGATCTAAGAAACTGAAGGAACAAGAAAACCTATATGAAAACTTTAATTTGTTGGTAATTTTACAGGAATATAGGATGGAGGATTGTCAACAAAAAATAGATTAAGCTTTTTTTTTTTTTAATCCATTTTAGCTTTAACAGTCCCGATGGAGAGGCATATAATGATTTAAGACATTAGTTATGTGTACAGTTTTTTATCTTAGTTGCTTCTGAGGATGAGCTTTGCCTTTGTGGATTACAGGTAGATCCCTTTAATGTGCTTTGAATGAATTAGAATCCATTTGAAATCTTAATTCTGTCTACATTCTGCAAAACAGCATATCCAAGGAATCCTGAATGGAAGGAGTGTCCTGTTGGACCAGAACAAAGGTCCATCTAGCCCACTACTCGCTCCCTGTCCATGGCAGTAGACGATGCTCTAGGGACCAGCCTGCAAGCCCACGGTCTGTTCATCTTGTACTCCCAAGCATCCATAATTACGACTAGGCATCAATTAGAGATGTTAGATGATGATTCCATGCCTATTCTCTTTTTTTATCTGTTTATAGACCTGTTACCCAGTTTGACTAGTTTCTTTTTGAACCTGCTGACTATTGCCTTTACTACAGCCTGTGGTAGGGAGTTCCAGACATTAATTACCTGCTGTGAAAAAAAGTACTGTCTTTTGGCTGTTAGTGATGCACAATTAGTCTCACTGTGGCACCTTCGTTCTAGTATTGTAAGATCTGATAAATAACAACTTCGTATTCACCTTAGCCACTGCCTTTATGATTTCATAAGCCTTGATCATATCTCTTCTCAGCCTTCTCCTCTGCAGGTGGAAGAACCCCAGCCATTTTAGTCTTTCTTAATACAGCACTATTCCACCCTCTTGAACATTGCATCAGCCCTTCTCTTTCCCTTCCCTAATGCTGTTGTATTCTTCTTGAGGTGTATAGACCTGTCCCATTTGTAAGCAAGATATGGGGGTACTAAAGTGTCCTGGTTTCAGCTGGGGTAGAGTTAATTGTCTTCCTAGTAGCTGGTATAGTGCTATGTTTTTGAGCTAGGTATGAGAAGAATGTTGATAACACTGATGTTTTCGGTCATTGCTAAGTGATGTTTAGTCTGAAGTCAAGGATTTTTCGGCTTCTGATGCCCAGCCAGCAAGAAGGCTGGAGGGGCACAAGAAGTTGGGAGGGGACACAGCCAGGGCACCTGACCCAAAGTGGCCAACGGGGTATTCCATACCATGCAACATCATGCCCAGTATATAAACTGGGGGGAGTGGGCGTGGGGGGATCGCCACTCGGGGACTAACTGGGCATCGATCGGCAGGTGGTGAGCAATTGCACTGTGCATCACTTGTATATTCCAATCCTTTTATTATTACTGTTGTTATTTTATTAGTATTATCATTATTAGTTTCTTCTTTTCTGTTCTATTAAACCATTCTTATCTCAACCCACAAGTTTTACTTCTTTTCCCGATCTTCTTCCCCATCCCATTGGGGGGGGGGGCGGGTAAGCGAGTGAGCGGCTGTGTGGTGCTTAGTTGCTGGCTGAGGTTAAACCATGACACATACAGAAACAAAATTATTCTTATTCTTTCCTCCTCCCCTTCAGTTTTCACGATTCTCTTTGTTTTCTTTCAGATGGCCAGTTCATAACAGTAGAAGCAAGGAGAATTTTTCTCTAGAGTTTTCAAGGGTTGGGCTGCATTGTGGCTTACCTGTTCAGAAAGTCTGTTTACACAGTTTCATTTTTTGAAGTTGAACAGATACGTTCCTTAAAACAGTGGAAATGTGATAGAAAGTTATCCTTGGGAGTGGGCAGGCATAAATGTAGGGTCCAGTCCCTTGAAGATATCGCAGGATAAGCACTAAAACCTGTCTTCTGTACACTCTTAATTGTCAAGTAAAATAATGGATACAACCTGGAAACCACACCAAAACACAGGTTAAAAAATGCAGAACGACCTGCAAAACTCAGTATAACTAGTGGCCTGGGTCTTGTTGCTAACAGGAAAGTAGGAGGTATAACTGATGAAACTCTGTCTGAAAGGAAATTCCTGCTGCTTCTTCAAGACTGTATGACAGCATGTCATGACTGCCAGTAACCAGCATCCAGGTGTGGTCCAGCAATGTAAGTACAGTTGCATAGCCCTTGTTCGTAAACAAAATATGCATCAGTGTTAGCACCGTAGGATCCGCTCTGGAGCGGACCTAAAACTAGGTACTGGAATGATCCAAGATACTGGCAGCAGGTACATGAATGTGCCTAGTTCTGCATAAACTTCTCAAACACCCTGCTGTAATAAAGGATTTTAACATTAAGTGGCAACTTGTGAGGACAGCTATACTCAGCAACGATTTCTTAAGAACTGGCTGGGCTATTGTTAGTTATAGTGTGGGTGGTATTTTTTTCTTGTCAAAGGAAATGCGGATTATCTTATCATTATCTCAGATACTTCTGACACTCTTTTACAAGCTATAAATTCATGGATTAAAATTACAGATAGTAAATTCAGAATTCCCTGTGGTGCTTCTATTACTGTCTCTTGTGTGTGGCAGCTATGTGTCTCAGTGCAGGTATAGGCGAGGGCTTGAATAACTGTATTTTGGGGGAAAAATATTTAGAGAATACTTGGAGACATATGGTGGTCTTGGAAAATTATGCAGTCAAATGAAGATGAGATGAAGATGTGAATAGAGTTTTGGGAAATAAAAAAGTCAAGATAGTATCTGAAGCAGCTTGTTTTTCATATTTGTAGACAGGTAGAAAATAAGTTGTAAGAACTGTTCTTCCAAGTTACCATGGTATCAGATCTAGGTATTTCTACGTTTCAGAATCATATAATCTGAACTAGACCTTTTATCAGATGTCAGCATTTTTAAATCTTCACCACCAGCATCCCATTTCAGTATCACAACAAGAATCCTCAGAGAGTCTCTGCAGCATCTGTTTTCACATAACATGTACCTGCCTGGCATCTGTGTAACTTCTCCAGCAGACATGCTTACTTTACATCTCTCTGCTACTTCAACAGGATGGTCTGCCTCTTTCATTTTCAGTTTCCTCTGACTCCATCTTCCTTGAGTAAAGTGGATGCAATAGTCTTTACATATCTAACAGAATAAAGTTATAATGATCTTCAAATACATTTAATATTATAATTATTTACAAACTATTTAATAATACACATATGAAGTAGATGAGTATTAAGTTGGTTCCTGTTGGTGCTGTATAGCTTACTTCATTAACAAATGTTAATTGAGTTTTGGAGCAATAAGCACTATATTAATGCAAAATATTGATTACCAAATAGCTGTTCAGGGAATAATTTTAAGATTGTGTACCAGAAACCTGTGCTTCATAATTAATAACTTTTGTTGCATTTTTATGAGTTTTTGAAAGCCTCTTGTAATAACCACAACACTTCCTTTTTCAGGTTGTTGGAGTCGGTAAAGCTTATTTTAGAGCTTAGAACTTCTTTTGGTGACTTGTTCCATAGGACAAGTGTTAGATCAAGTGAGGACATCAACTGGCATGAGGGAACGGGAAAGGGGAAATAAGGCCACACATTGGCAGAGCAGATCTTGGAGTAACTCCTGAGTAGACTGGGTCAAGGTAGAATGTTTTAGGGAGCCAGTCAGGTGCCTGGACACAGATGTCTGGTGTCGTTTTAGACGTCATATAGTAACTTACATCCCATGCCGTATCTGCTAGCCCTGTGTCTTGGGTACCCTAGGGCACCTGAAATTACACTGGATGCCTAGTTAGACATCGGAACTGCTCCTAGGTGGTTGCTAGAGGCCAGCTGGGGAGGATCAGAGCTGGAGAGCAGTTACAATTAGAGCTCCATCAAAGAGCCAGAAAGCACATGGCAAATTACAGTCTTGATTAATACTGACAGTGACATGATCTCCTCTTCCATGGCTTTCATTTCTCTAGGAGATTGTGGCAGGGCACAGCAGGCTGGAAGTTTGCGGGTGAGGCCGAGTCGAACGGGTCACGGTAAGGTAAGGCCAGACACGCGCTTGAGCGGTGGGTTTCGTAAGAGGCCACCAGCTCCAGGGATGATTTCTGTGGGCCAGGTACCTCCTCTGGGCACACCCTCCCCTCCGTTTTCGGAGTATTTTAAGAAACAAAGAAAGGAAGGTTGTGAAGGGCTCCGGACATAACGCGGGCTTATTTGATAAACCGGTAACTACAGGCTGTTGTCTTCCTTGCGGGGAAAGAGACGACACCGAATTTGGGGTGACGCACAGCAAATGCACGAAGCCGCACCGCCAGCATTCTAAAGCGCTGCTCGACGGTTAACAGAGAACGCTCGGACAAGAGACATCACCGGGTCCTGGAGGAAGGCAGGCGGGCAGGCAGCCGGCCCTCAGAGAGGGGAGGGATGCTCCCGCAGCCCCCGGGGCAGCGCGTAA